TTCATCTACAGAGCCGTGAACTGTTCACTCACTCACTCAGATTGAAGCTTCTACTGAACATCAAGAAATGAGAGTCAAATTCAATACACAGATGCGTGTCCCAGGTGGCTGCCCTCCCAGCTGAAACAGTGGCTACTACAACACGGCCACTGAAGCACACAAGCCAGCATTTTGAGACCACACCCCGGCCCCTAATCACTGCCAAGTGCTTGCTACCAAAACCACTGGAACATCCTTCATGTCCCTGAATGTTCCCACCTCTGAACAGTCTCCTTTTCAGTCTCCTCAACAACCCCCATCCTCTATGACTGAGCTCAAGTTCTGTTCTGTCTTACCACAAAACTTTCCCTGACTCAGCCTGGATGGCCCAGGAAAGGAACCCAATGGTACAATCTAACACTGTAGTCTTTAACCTCAGCCAGCTGGCCTACAGGATACTGCTCGAATCTGCTATCAGGTGTGTCCCATATGGGACTCCCTGCTCCCCAAGCTAGGCACAAGCTGGAATCCAGGAAGCCATCACTTACTAGCTTCATAACCATAGGCATCCCAGCTCCTCTGAACCTCTTGACCTGCCCCCCTCACAAATCACTAACATCAAGTGGGCTGACAAGGAATTGCTCTGTAAAACTACAGGCCAACAGAGTTTAACAGTAAATAATAGACAAAAACATTACAACCCTTAATCTTGCATGCCTTCCTCTGCCACATAGCTCAGAACTTTAATTCCTCTACAATCTCGTTCAATTCCGAGTCTAGTAGGAGAGGAAGGGACTAGAAGCTAGTGAGACAATCAGTACCATGCTCAAAAGCCTGAAGCCTCCAGAAAAACCAAGCACACAATAGGTACTCAATGAAGGAGCTGCCACTAAGTGCCAGGGGACCAGCCAGGAGCCACACAGGGTCTGACTAAGGGGCAGACAGTTGCTCTCCACTGGCAGGTGCAGGCTGACAGCCTGCTCAGCCCTGCAACCTAAGTGTCGTTTTTAAGTGCCAATGAGTAGGTTCTGACTCACAGCAACCCCTATACAGGGTTGCCAAGGAACAGCTGGTGAGTTTGAACCACTGACCTTGTGGTTCAAACTGACCTTGCAGTCCAGTGCTTTATTCCACAGCACCACATCAGGGGCCTAAAAATGTGGAGCAACTTCCTCCCTGCGAGGAGACTCCTCATGTCTTATTTGCCAACTGCAGGCAGTCTGTAATTCCTCCCCAACATTACCACTTAATAGGTCCTACAAGAAAGGCCTGTGGGCTGGGAAACAGAACACAAAGTTTAGACCTTTGACTGTCTTTCCTCCAGTAAATGTGTCAGTGGGGAATAAGGCTGCATCTAGGAAAGACCTGGAGATGTACTGCTTAAGGAAGAAACTGTGCTCTCCCAGAGATTTCATGTTATTATAGTACTTTCAAAGGCAAGCTTCTGACATGGGAAGAAAGAGCAGACCCCATCGAGGGTGTGCAGTCCTACATAGCCCAGTCCTTCTTAATTTGGCGATCACAACTCCAGAAGAAGGAACAGAAGGAACAAAGTCAAGGGCAGACGTCTTGCCCTTTCTCCCACGATGAGGCGGGATGACCGTGGCTTGGTGTCTCCCAGGGGACATCTCGCCAGTGGGCAGGAAAACCAGACTCAGGATCTAAAGAGCATTAGTATTGTACATACAGAAGTAGCCTGAACTTAAAGCAGACAATCTTTTTCTTGTTTCTTGAGCAGATAATCTATTGTCTTAGTTATCTAGTACTGCTATAACTGAACTACTCAAAGTGGGTAGCTTTAACAAACAAATATATTTTCTCACAGTTTAGGCGGCCTATAGTCTGGTTCTAGGGGAAGGCTTTCTCTGTCCGCTCTGGAGAAAAGTCTATGTCTCTTTTGAGCTTTAGTTTTTCAGTGATCATGTAGCTTGACGGCATCTCTCTTCCCCCATTCCTGTACTCTAACTTCCCTGCTCAATCCACTCCTTTTCCGTCTCAACAGCGCTTGACAAAAAATATGCCCTACCCATTCCCAAGTGAGATGATAAGCACAGATATTAAAACCCACTGTCATCAACTCGATTCCAACTCACAGCAACCCTATACAGGGTTTCTGGGATTTTAACTCTTCATGGGGGCAGACAGTCTCATCTTTCTCCTGCCAAGAGGCTGGTGGGTTTGAACTACCAACCTTGAGATTAGCAACCTAACACCTAACCCACAGGGCCTCCAGGGCTCCTTAACCACAGATATAAGGGTTAGGATTTACAACACATAATTCTTGGGGGACACAATTCAATCCATAACATCTACAAAACCCAAAAGGCATTCAAAAAGTTCACAATACATAATACAGTTAAGTATATGGTAAAGTGTTTACCATCCTACTTCCACCCATTAGGTAACCACTCCAAGTCAGTGCACAAAGAACGTCACCATCTGTTCTTATCCTAAGACTGGCCTAGTCATGTGACCCTGGGTAAACCACCTTTATTTACTGGTTTTGATGTGTTCACCTATAAATTAATAAAATTGCCCTCATTCTTCCTTCTTTTAAGGGTTGTCATCAAGGTCAGATAAGACAAACCAAGCAAAAAATAAAAAGATAAGCCAAGCAGGAGGTATTATTTACCATGTTAAATTAAATTGTTAGAGCTGCAGAAAAAAATCAGAGTGCCATGTACTCCTCATTTCCCTTTCCTTCTTTTATTTTCTCCTTGCACCATCTCCATCTAACAATCCATATACGATAGTTTGCTTTACTGTCTGTCTCTACAGCTAAATGGAAGAATCTTAGGACAAAAACTTCTGTATGTTTTGCTCATTGTTATAGCTCCAGTGCCTGAATGCCTGCCACACACTAAGTGTTCAGGATGGATTCCCAGCTCCCATCATCTGTCTTGAACCAAGCCAAGTGCCACTTCACCACCTGTCATTGATTCACCATTGAAGTGTAGTATGTAAAGTACAAAACCAAACCACAAAAAAAAAAAACTCACTGCCTTTAATTCTGACTTACTGTGATCCTACAGGTCAGAGTAGACTACCAGATAAGCTTTCCAAGGTGGCAAACTTTTACGGAAGCAAATGGACAGATCTTTTAAACCCCATGGAGTGACTAGTGGGTTCAAACCACCAAGCTTTTGATGGGCAGCTAACTGCTTTAACCACAGCACCACCAGAGTTTCTCCAGAAACTATAAAGTCAACCAAACATTCTAACTTCCTCTTTTTAACTAAGAAGGCTAGAAAGAGGGGGAAAATCAGGAGCTCCTGGATAGGAGGCATGTGAGGAAAAGAAAAATGCTTCCAAAGGAGTAAAAAATGAGGGAGGCTTCAGGGTAACTCCTGGTTCTAAAGAGAATGCAAGGAAACTCCAAGGGCCAGTGAGTTCTCAGTTCCAACGGAAAAGTCAAATAATTTCTGAATGCATAAGGGTTATCTGAAGTCAAAATTGTGTGAAGCTTTAAAACAATTAAAATATCCAGGTCAGTTTCATCCCAGTGAGAGACTCCCTCTTTACAGGCCAGTTTTCCTGATGGTCCCAAGGGATCCTTCGCATCTTGCTCCTAGTATTCTGACACAAACTGAGACTCAAGCAAGTTGGCCCTAAATCCAAGCAAAACACTCAGGTAGATCAGCCACTGTTTAGAAGCTTAAGCTTGAGTTGCCCAGGGCCAGGCATTTGGGGGGGGGAGGGGAAAACTGAGACGGCAGACTGCTACCAACAAAAACAGATACCAATGTGGCCAGGTTCCACTATGACTTCCCCTTTTATTTCCCAAAGGACACAAGACAGCCCAGCAGAAAAAAAGTAGGGATCAGATTCATCACTGTTAAAAGTTGAAAAGCGAAGCTCTGGTTTCCCCCCACCTGCTGCAGGTCTAGATATTTAATACTTTGCAGAATTCAAAACTCAGTTTTCACCAACAGCAAAACCAAGGATTTCAGCCCTCCCTCCTCTCAACAGCACTTTCACACAGATTATCCTGTTAGATCTCAAAATAACCCAGTGAGAATGAAAGTGTAAGAACTGTTATCCCCCACTGGGGGAGAAATGGAAAAAACAAGCTCTGGGAGATAAAGCAATTTACCTTGTCCAAGTCCCACTGTCACAAGTAACAAGGGCAAGGTCTACACATGGGAAGAAAATTCAGAGCACTCCTCAATTATTTCGGGAAAATTACAAAGTAAAAATGAAATCAAGCCATTTTGGTGTGAAACGAAAGCAAGTAAAAAAATGTTTTCAAGTTTGGCAACTAAAAGGACTGAGACTTATCCCTGAGAAGTAGCCTGGGAACCAATTAGGCACCCTCCTCTTTTCTTTCCCTGTGTTACCCAGGTCTAGAGGTGGATCTTTTGAGTGTTTGCATTCAACGACTCCAGCTGTGCGTCCAGGGGACAGTCACTTGCTGCCCCAAACAAGAAGTACTGAAGGGCCGGGGAAGGTCGGCCAGGCCCTGACCCTGAAAATCGAGACTGGGAGTGAGAGCCGGCCGGGCCGTAAGGAAAAGGAAACGGAAGATTCAGGGTACTCAGGCTCCATGTCCAGAGACCCAACGAACACCTGAACATAGACGCAACCTGTGCAACATTACCAAAACCAAACCCACTCCACCGAGTCGATTTCGACTCACAGAGAACTTATAGGACTGAGGAGCTTCTCCATAGTGCTTCCGAGACTGCAAATTTTTAAAGAAGCAGGAGAAGCTGGTGGGTTTGAACCATCGACTTTGCAATTAGCAACAGTAGTCAGGCGCTAAAGAAGCCGGTCTCCAGGGACTGGGGCACGCTGACCACTGCCACCCCTCTGCCTGCGATATGACGACACTAGCTCTGGAATCGTCCAGCGCTGGTTCCCACCAGCTTTGGTGGGCGGTTCCGACTCCTCGCGCATGCTCTAGTCGCTCGCGCATGCTCAAAATCAACAGCTCGCTAGGTAGTCGTCCAAGATCCTCCCGACCCTGTTCCAGACTCCCTTGTGTGCCACCCCACCTATAGCCCTCACTCCCCACTCCTCACCTTGCGCCCAGTTTTCTCCCGTAGGGCCTTCAGCCGTTCTTTTCGCCGCAGCGCCTCTTCTTCTAACCGCCCCACACCGGCTGTAGCCATCTTGCCCACCGACCCCCCCGCCTCACTCGGTCTGCACTGCGCAGGCCCACGAAGCGGTCCTAAAAGTCTCATGGCCAATCGAGAGGCGAGACTGAGAAAGTAGGAAGTTCCAAGAACCAATCAATGATGAGTTACCCGCCCACTTCCTCCCAGGCAATTCACCTAGCGGGGGACCAACAACGAAAAAGGCACGAAGCCTCGATTGGTCCAACGCCAATCAAAGGAAAACCAAGCAGAGTCAGACTTGAGAGAAGGAATGTAGAGTACATCGATCGCCCTGATTCTGCCTAACCTGGACTCTTGGAATGCCCTATCCTTGTCCATTTATCCTGATTCTTCAAGGTTTGAATGCTTTTCAGAAGCCTTCCCTAGTCCTCCATTCCTATCCCAGCCCAATATGAGGTTTGCTTCGTCTTTTCCCTCAGCTAGCTGCCAGTCCTGAACTCAACTACCACAGTGTCTCCACAATTCTCTGTAGTCTCTTATCAATTCAGAGGAAGCATACACAGTTCAAACCTAGATAGATTTTCATTTCCCTGCAAGTTCACAGGATGATCTGCTTCCACCTCCATCCCCTCAAGATGTTAAGTATTTCTGGGGGTGAGGTGATAGTGGGGGAGCCAGTCAATCTGTCTCCCCCGGAGAAGGCCTAACCCCAACCTGGACCCATCATCAGATCCCCCAAAGAACTTCCCTGAGCTTAGGAAGAATTGACTTTGCTTCAACTGGACCAGGTGGCTATGGGATGCAAGGCTCCCGGCAGGAGATGTCACGACCTTATTTTCTGCATTAATCAGTGTGCAGGTAACATAGAGAGCACGTTGGTAGAGGTGAAAATTAAAGTCACAATATTCTGACAGCATGTCTAGGTTGTCAAAGACATGCTTCCTCCGGCCTTCCAAGGCCATGCCCCTCTGCCAGGGGACTACTCTGCCTGTCCCCTCTCAGCCAGGGTGTTCTCTGCCTGGGGTGGTTCAGGGAATACCAACTACCCACTTCCCAATTCCCTTTAGAGGCATCTGTGCCTTGGAGACTTCCTGGTCCAGTCCTCCCTACTTCTTGACCTCACTAAGCTGGTTCTGTTACAACCTCCTCCCGCGACCACCACCACCAGGGCCTGCAGCGCACATAGCAGATGTTTGTTCTTAGTGCTGTCAAGTCAGTTCTGACTCATAGCCGCCCTGTACAGGGTTTCCAAGGAGTGACTGATGGGTTTGAACCACCAAACTTGCAGTTTGCAATCCAGTGCTTATCCTACAACACCACACCAAGACTCCAAGTAGATGTTTGTTATTGTTGTTAAGTGCCATAGAATTGGTTCCAAATCAAAACGACCCTATATAACGTTTCCAAGGAACAGCTGGTGGATATGAACTGCCAACTTTGTTGTGTGAAGTCCAGTGCTGATCCTACAGCACCACATCAACTTACAAGTAAGATGGGTGAGGCAGGAGCAAAGGCCATACTTGAGCTCCTACCTAAGAAGCCAGAAGGACAGGAGGAAGATGTGGGAAGACTGTCTTCTCTGGCCCATCCAAGGTCTAGGTGGCACCAGACTGACCAATTCCTATGACAGCCTCTTTCTAGACCCTCATTGTGCACACCACCCCCAGGACTAACAATGGATCTGGCCCCTGTCCAATTCTCAGGGCCCCTTCACCCACTGCTTGGCACTAGGAAAGGGGCTTAGGGGTCTTAGTGGCTTAGAATGGCATAGACAGTTGTTCAGACCCCTGTCCTCAGGCCCCATACTCAGGTGGTCATCATTTGACTTGTCTGGGTCTCTGTAAAACAGAGGGATGAGGAACTAGCCTCATAAGGTTGTGGTGGTTGTTGTTAAGTGTCATTAATTGCTTCTGACTCATAGCGACCCTGTACAGGGTTCAAGGGGCTGGTGAATTTGAACTGCTGACCTTAGGGTTCAATCCGACAGACCTTGCTTATCCTACAGCACCACACTAGGCAGGGCTCCTCAAAAGTTAAGGTGAGGATAGATCCAGAGGGCGTGGAGGAAGGTAGAGTCTCCACTGAGTAGTATCCAATCTGTCTAGGCAGGGCTGATGAAAGGAAATGTGGATAGGTCTCTTGTGATACAATAGTGAATAATTGTTATCAGGACTGACTGTGAGGGTTGGAAATGTACAGGTAGATGTTTTATAGCAAGGAGGGGAGTGATTAACTTTTCAGTCTAGGAGCGGAGGTCCCTGGGACCATCATGGGAGAAGAGCAGAGAGCGGGACCCTACCCAGAGAAGCAGTGATGTCTGAGATGGAGGCAGAGACGATGACATGGAGAGATGGAGCAGCTGGGGACTTTAGACACAAAGAGGGAGAGGGGCTGTGTGCTGACGACCAGGGGGCAGGCTTGTAGTGTATACCCTTTGGTTGGTTGATGATGCATGGGGCAGATTGTAACCATGGCAATGAAATGATATACAATAGAATGAATGTAAAACTAATGTTCTCCTATGTAAACTATCACATAATTCACAATAAAACATTTACAATTTTAAAAAAAGTTAAGGTAAGGAAAATTTTGAAGCAAGTGGGTTCAGATCTGGGAAAGGTTCCTGGAGGAGGGGACTAGCAGGAATTGTGTCAAACCTCCAGGTATCTGACCAACCATGGATGTAGGGCACTGCTACTCTTAAGCTCCTAATGTATTTCAGGAGGGTTCTGCTGTTTTCTGAGCATCGCCATCCCACTCCACAAACAACAGAAGCCCAAATGTGTTTCTCCAAGAAAGCACTTAGAGCAGTACCTGATGGCATGCAAGTGCTGCATGTGGCCATCTTGATTGTTGCTGCCATTATTATGGGTTGAAGGGTTGTGGCCATCTCCACACGGCCCGCAGACCGTCCACCAGCATCCCGCGGGTCTGTCCCTCGCGCGAAATAGTGGTAACTTCAGCCAAGCTTGCAGCATCGGAGGCTGATCCAGGCCCAAGCAAATCTGGAATTCCTGACTCTGACCCTCGATCCCGTGGCTCAGATTGACCGCTTCAGAGTCACCGGTGAGGGCGCGGCCTGTGGAAGGCTGTGCTGCTGGGGCGCCCTCTCGAGCCTCCCTGACCTCAGGCTCCTCCTCCTGCTTGACTCCCCGCCCTTCGCACTGTCCCCGGAGAGGCGGGGCGGCGGCAGCGGTCGCCTCGGAGTGCAGGAAGCCGGGCAGTGGCCGGTCCTGAGGAGGAGGAGCAAGTTAGGCTGGAGCCAAAGCCGCGGACTTCCCCTAGTATAACCGGGCCGCGCCGCGCCGCGCCGCTCCGCCCCGGAGTGACGCCCTCCGCCCATGGGCCTGGTCGGGGACAGCCGGCGGGCGGCGCGGTGGAGGCGGCGGCAGGTGGCGCAAAGCGAAGCTAGAGCCGGGCCGGGCCATGGCCGCCTCAGAGCGGCTCTATGAGTTATGGCTGCTCTACTACGCGCAGGTGAGTCCGCCCCGCCCTGATTCAGCGGTACCCCCAGTTCCGTGCGTTCCGAGCGCCCCGCGTCTCGCGCTGCGCGCCTGCCGCACCTGCGCCCCGCGCTATGCCGGGGCCGCCCATATGAGCGCGCGCGCCAAGAGCGCTCTGGCTCCACACACACGTGTGTGCCCCCGACCCTCCGGGTTCCTCTGACACTTATACACCTAGGGACGACTCTCGGCGGCACGCACCTCACAGGAACCCTTCAGATGAGGATAGCGCAGTCTGAGTCCAGCCGGAGGAAAGGAGCCTGGGGTCGTTGGCCGGGCCCATCCTTTTTTACAGATGGGGAAACAGAGTCCAGGAGAGATGAAGAGACTAGTCTGGTCGTGTCTGGAGATGAAGGAAAGTCACAGTTTGCATTTGGGCTGTCCGTCCTGTGGGCGTGACCCCTCTAAGGTGGTCGAGGTTGACAGGTCTGAGCTTGGACTGTAGATCTGAGGAAGCAGTGGAGAGCAGGACTTTACCATAGGTCCGACTAGAGTGGCCCCAATTGTCCCCACCTTGAAACAGGTGGTGATAAGGAGCCCCTCACGCTCAGGCTGGTGGGTAGACTCCTCGGGGCCAGTCTAGGAACCAGAAGAAAAGGTTTTGCAGTGGATGCTGAGGGAGAGATGGAGCTGAGGGGTGTCAAGGATGTCTCAAGGAAGGAGGGAGGCTTATTCATCCTAAGCTCCTACCCCTGTTTTCGGAGACCACCTCAGGTGGCCTCAGAAGGTGACAGGGAGTGACTCTAACCCATGTGTCCCCTCAGAGCTGAAAACCTGATGTCCTCAAACTGTGTCTCACATATATGCCCCCCTTTCCTTCTGCACATACAGAAGAAAGAATCCCAGGGTCATGCCCCACCCCCAGCTTCACCAACACCAGCCTCCCTGCCTGCACCTGCCTGACATCATGCTCCTGGCTCAGGTGTGCCCTGGGCACAATAGACCATTGTGTGGCCCAAATTCATTCTTCACTGGAGGGAACTTCACACTCATGCTGGCCCTCCATGAAGAAGACTGACCCCCAGGGCTGTCAGCCCAGTGTGGAGATCTGGAGACCAGGCACAGAGGGGTCACAGGCTCCTTTAGTCCCCTCAGGGTGTGAGAGGTCCATGCCCACCGCAGGAGGCAGTGCACAGAGTCATCTTCAGTGTGACCCAGGGCAAGCTCTTTGCATCTCTGAGCCTCTGCTTCCTGCCTATAAATTTGATACAGCCTTTTCAGGAACAGCCTGGATTTTGTAGAGGAATTGCTAGTGTGACCAGTCCAGGCCAGGTCAGAAAAAGCACCTGCTCCCCAAACTCCATTGGGCTCCCTCTCCCCAGCCTCTGTCTCCATCTCCAAGGGTTGGTTCTCATAAAGGAGCAAAGGATCCTAGAAGGAAACCTACCCCTGGCCTTCCTGCCTCTGATTGCCTCTGTGACCATGGGCAGATCCTTGGACCTTGTTTCTTCACCTGTGACAGGTGAAGAGTCTGAGGAATGGATGAGTCTGAGGAATGGATGCTAATGATGTGTCTTCAGACTGGGTGGCAGACTGCTGGGGAGGGGATGGTGGAGGGACTGAACCTTCAGTATGGTTGCCTCCTTCTGCCCCTTCTAGCTGAGTATCTGTATCTGGTCAGCCCCTGTACCTACTCTGGGATGTTCAGCACTGATACCTGTGCTGGTAATCCACCCCCCAGCTCCTTATTTCATAGGGCATATTTGGGGCACAGAGTGGCTGGTTGTGGCCTTGGGAGCTTGGGCAACAGGGGGGGCAGCCTGGGTCTGGGCAAACAAATCCAGGATGTGAGTGCAAACCCTGGAGCCAGGCGGGGCCATGCTGCCTGGGGAGAGGAAGTGCCGTGCTGGCCAGCCTCCCAACACTGCCTTCCTGCCTGCCTGGTCTGCTCCTGCTCCCAGGAACATCGTCCCCACCCCTCTCTGCTGGGCTTCTAGGGAGGTGTGGCTGTGTGCAAACTTGAGCCCCAGAAGGGGCCCATGCAGGTAGAAGGACAGAGTGCAAGGAATGGGGGTGGAACTGATAGAGGAGGTTAGGAGACTTGAGTGGGAGTGAGCCAAATGCCCAGCCAGGCATCCAGAAGGTTCCCCAATACCTGTGCCCCTCCCTTCAGCCTTGAGAGCTGACATCAGTTGGCAAACCTGTTTCCCCAGTTTTGGGCCTAGGAGGGCGGGGACCCTATGAAGTACCCCCCCTCCCCATTTACTGCCCTTCTTCTCCCCTCATGGACCCAGGTTCACACCTGCCTACCACCTTCCCTTGGGGTTCCACAGCTGTTGTAGGTGACTACTAAGGGAGGGAACAGGGAAGTGCTGAAGTGCCTGGTGAGGAAACCAAGGCAGAAATGGACCAAGGTCTTCAGATGAGTTGGGGACAGAGTTAGGCTGAATCAGGGAGCCTCCATCATGTGCGTTGTTATTCAGGAAAGGGCACTATGCTATCCTCAGTCATCCCTACCCCTGACAAACATCTCATTGTCCTATCTCATCTTATAGCTGGAGGTCCTTCAAGTCTGCCTGCTGTCCTGTAAAGGTTTAATCCTGTGGGCAGGTAACTTCAGTCAGGTCGATATCCTGGGATAGCACATGCTCTTTCCTCTGCTTGGAGGTTTCTCACTCCTGTTTGAAGTGGCCTTCCTTACCTGTCTCCCCCAAACCAAACTTGGCCCCAGCTCCAGCTCACCCTTTTTTGAACCTTCATTGGACTTGCCACTTCCCTATTTCCCAGCATCTCACACTGAGGTGCAGAGAAGGGCCCCAGGGCAGTGAGCAGCCAGGGAAGTGATCCAGAGGAGACTGAGTTTGAATTGAGCCTTGTAGACCCAAGGGACAGAAATAACCAAAACAGTGGGATATACCAGAAGCAAACCATCAGGAGCTGCGAAGGAGGCCTAGTATATGGGTAGGGTACACCCAGAAAACTCTCATCCATCAGGGCTTCCTCAGGGAAGGTGTGAGCGGAGTCAGACTTGGGAGCGGGGAGTAGATAAGGTGATTGAGGACTGAACTGGACAGGCTGCATGTGAAAACTCGAGTGGCATGTAACAGTTATACAAACTAGCATGCAAATGAGTGGCCCCTTTTCAGGCTAGAGCTGTGGTATTGGTACCCCCACCCCACACAGTGAAAAGGGTACAGAAGCATGTGGCCTCAAAGGTTAGGGCAGGACAAGAACTCAGGTTACAGGTGGGGAGCCCAGGTCAAACTCACCCACCTCTGCAGGTATACCACTGAGGACTTGGAGAGCTGAGGTTAACCTTACATCTGCCCATGACCCCCCAGTCCTCCCCACCCCCCCCAACCACTGAACTCAGCTATGTCATGGAAACCTTATCAGGGTCATGTTCCTTTCTGGGCCTCAATGATCTCCTCTGAGCTTGCCCCATCTGTAGGGCAACTTGGGGGTTCCCTCTCTGGGTCTTCATTACCAAGGCAACTGAAGGGGGTGGGACCAAGGTGATGGGGAGATTATCGCAGAGCTCAGGGTTGGAGGAGGGGCATAATCACTGCAGTTGTTATGGCAACTGCGGAGTTAATGGAGAAGTCGGGTACCCATGGAAACAGATTGGTTACTATGGGGACACTGGAAGGAAATCCGTTTTTCATAGTGATAAGACAAAAGGAGGGTTAAGTCCTAGGGATTGTTATGGAGACCAGGAGGGCCAACCTTTTCAAAAGTCTCTCACCTGAGACACTGACCCAGCCACCTGGGCACCATCCAGTATCCTCAGTTGCCCCTGCCCCTGGCAAAGTTCCCTTCCTCCTGCTTCATCCTATAACTGGAGAGCCTTCAAGTCGGCCCTCTAGTCCTCTTAGTGTAGCCTGCAGCCACCTTTGGCTTGACATTGCCCTCCCCCTGTTAATGCTGAGTGAGGAGGCCCCCAAGCCTGGGAGAAGCTATCCAGCCCTGTTGTAATTCTGCTTACCTAGCCCCAGAGATGGAGTTCTAGTGTAGCACTAGCATAAGCACTGGACTGCTAACTGCAAGGTTGGCAAACTCACCAACCTCAGAAACCCTATACAGGGTCCCTATGACTCAGAACCAATTCAACAGCACTTAACAGCTACTTCATCTGGGGATCTTACTACCACCTAGGCAGCTCTGACTGGGAGGAGTCACCTCCCACTGACCTGCATAGCCCTCTAGCTGGGACCAGAGGCCTCAGCTCCTGCTGATGAGCCAAGGTTTTCCACTCACCTGTCATTCACATAGGTGGGTGGGAGGAGAATGCCAGGGACTTGTGATGGTGAGAACACCTGGATTTGGAGGTGGAACATCTCACCTTGCCCTTACCAAGTGCTAGGTAGGTGGTGCAGTGGGATAAGCACTGAACCGTAAGGTTGGCTTGAACCACACAGTTGGCAGCTCAAACCCATCAATCAGTTGCTCCTCGGAAACCCAATACAGGGTTGCTGTGAGTCAGGACCAACTCGATGACGCTTAACAACAACAACAACAAACAAAAAGGGCAAGTGCAGATGCTCTACTGGGTAAGCAAGCATTGGACTACTAACCACAAGGTCAGTGGTTTGAGCCCATCAGCTGCTCCATGGGAGACAGATAAGGCTTTCTATGGCTGCAAAGCTTTACAGCCTAGGAAACCCTATACTATATGGTTATGGTTTGGATAGTCCTTAACAATAACAACAAGCAAAAAGGAATGGTTTTAAAGAGGCAGTGAGGGTGGAAGTGGTTAAGTAAGAAATACACAGCACTGAACTCCAGAACCACTAATGACTCTCTACCACTTTCGGCCCCCCCCGGGTCTTAGGGAAGGTGCCACTCCTTGGTGGGTGTATTTAGGCAGAGCAAACATGGAGAGCAAAGCAGCTGCAGGTAGGGGCAATGGGAGGGGGGCACAGGGAGTAGTGCCCCTACTTTTGGGCATCCGATGTGTTTGGCAGGATGCCAAGGCTAGAGATGAGTTGAGGGCTACCCAGAAAGATCTTCAGAACTGGGCTTATGATAGGATGGGTGACTCAGTGGTGGCCAGCAATGGGGACATATGTCTCTTGGATGCCCACTGTATACTTGGTGCTGTTTAAAAGTTTTTCAAATATGGCCTTGTTGAGAACCACCGGTGAGATGGTGTTGAGGTGGGGGCTTTGAGGCAAGTCTTGAGCCCTGGGATAAGGGACAGGACAGGCTGGGGCTGGTGTCAGGCTTGTGGTAGGATGAACAGGGTCTGGGGACAGCACAGTGTCTGAGACTTGTTGTAGCTGGTTGACAGCTCAGTAATATATGAGCTGTGGGGTCATGTGTCCCTAACAGATAGCCTTCCCACCATCCCTCTACCACAGTCCCCTGACTTCAACCCTTCTGGGTAACCTCAGAATTATGGGGAAGTTCCAGGAACTGTTGTTAAGTGCCATCGAGTCAGTTCCACCTCATAGCGACCCTATAAAGGGTTTCCGAGGAACGGCTGGTGAGCTTGAACCTCTGACCTTGTGGTTCAAACCGACTTTGCAGGTGTTGCTTAAAACCTGCCCTTAGGAGCCCTACCCCTCCTCCCCAGTGCTTTCTGAGTGCCCCCAGGCTGGGTGGGTAAGGGTGTGGGTCCCTATAAGGATGATCATAAGATCCCTTTTCCCAGGGACACTGACACCCAGCCCCCATTCCCACAATCCTCTCCCCTATCTCTGGACCTGGACAGACTTACTGGTGGATCCTAGGGTTCTGAAAAAGGCATGATATGTATGGCAATTCCTGACCTGCCTTCAGGGACAATGGGGTTGGGTTGGGACCCAGCATAGTTAGGTTGGGACAGAGACTGGGCCAGCCCTGCCAATGATGAGGAAGGGAGGAGCAGGCCAGGAAAGAATGTCATGGGGAGTCCAAGCCAACATTGCCACCCGTTTCCTGGCTCTGAACTGTGCACACTGCACTTTCAACATGTGCCAGGCCCCCTAGCCCCACAGGGACTCCTGTGCTTCTCAACACGGCAGCTTCAAGTCACCAGATCCAGGCCGGAGCTGGACTGAGGCCTCCCAGGGTGAAGCGGTGAGACCCATAGAGGTGGGACCACCAGCTACACTCACCACCACCCAGTGCTGTCTTTTACAGACTCCTCCAAAACCCAGGACTTGATTGCCTTGATTGCCCCACTCTTGAACTCAGCCCAACCCAAACCTGCTGGAAGTTCGCAGGACTGGACTGGCTGGGGGTGTGGCTCTAAGGAAGGAAAGGGAAGCATGTAGAGTCTGAGGGACTCACCCAGGTCTAGGAGGCTGGACCAAGGGGCTGACCATCAGGAGTGTAGGGTGGGAGGTTCCTGCTTATGTACTGAAAGTCCAAACCACAGAAGGCACTGGAGATGGAGTGGGCAGAGGCTCAGACAGGTGAACCTGAATCCAAAATGGGAGGGGTGGAGAGCTGGAGAAACAAACACTAGTCAGACTGGTGCCCTTGAATACCACAGTCTGTACCTCAGGTGAAGATGGAGGAGACTGTGATCAGATTTGGGTTTCCAGATGCTCAGCTGAGATGCAGCTGGCAAAAATAATCTACATTATGGGTGGTAAGATATGACTGTGACTTGAGTTGGGATGATTTTGATGTAGAAAAGGGGAGGATGGTACTGGGACATCTTTGAAGAATATTTGAGGCAGGGATCACAAGTCACATGTTCAGTTTGGACTAGTTAGTTGATCAGCAGCCATGAGTGGTCCTGGCCTAAAACAAATGTCTGGGTCTCAAGTGTATAGCTGAAGCTGTGGTAGTGGATTTTGGCATCCCTTCTGTGGCCTCCGTTTCCTCATCTGTAATGAGACGGGTTCCTAAGAAGTAGTCCAGGAGCCCTGGCCTGCTCTGACCTTTCCAAGCCTAAGCATTTTGGTTTCCTTACTGGTTGGTGGGGAGGGGAGGGTGGAGAGGCCAACAACAAAGGTAACTGGTATCCCAGTGGTGTGGGCTGGCACATTGGTACCCTTACTTCCTTTCTGGCTTGTCCTAAGTCTGGGCCAAAATGCACATGGAGAAGACCCAGAATGCTGGAGGACTGCCCAGGTTTCTCATGTCAACTGAGATCTACCTTCTTCCCTGAGGCTCATTCAGACCTGGCCCCGTAGTCTGGACCCACAGGAGGCAAGAATGAGCCATTTGTCCAAAGCTAGCTCTAGAGACCCTTGGGGTCCTGTCACCTGGGGCACAGCCTCACACCTGCTGGGCACTGACTGTGATGTGGTTCTTGTTCCTTCACCCTACTCCAACCCACACCCTCCCTACATCTCTGGCCTTGGGAAAGAAAGCTCTCTTGGCAAGGGCTGCAGATGATGAAGAGAGGAAGGGGTTCCTGTCCAGACTATGACCCACCTGGTACTCAGGGAAAGACTTCAAAGTGTGGACTGATTAGGGCCAAGCTAAGATTTACTCAGTTGTGTGTGTACCCCTGAGCAAAGAGACAGTCGAACAGGGTCGAAGGTCCCCAACACCGGGATCTGTAAGTACCTGAATAGTACTATGGCTGCAGTGGTCAGAACCCTACCCTAGATAGGCTCCACCTTGCCTTCCAGGCCCCGCCCTTCCAGTCTGTATGATTGGTCTCTGGTCAGCAAGCCCCACCTCTCTGTACCCTAACCCCGCCCCTCCAGATACAGGCCCCACCCCCGTGTGGTCTTCTGTAGCCTCCTTTGCTGAGCCCGGGGTGCCCCGGCCCACTACACCCCCCCCACATCCCTGCGGTCTGCCGGGAGGAAGCGGCCCTCCTCCCCCATCGTGACTCTGCGCTTCCTGCCTGGGCCCGGGGCGGGAGGGGACGTTTCCCGTTCACACCAAAGTTTCCCTGGCGGCGCCCATACTTGGTCTTGGTTACTGTCCCTCTTGCCCATGGAACTAGCTCTGGGGCCTGAAGTCCAGGTAACCAGCAAGAGTGGGTGGAGGTAGGGCTTTCTGCCGGGATGCCAGGCAGATGAAGACGTGTGTATGTATGTATATGTGTGCGTGGAAGGATGTGAATGTGCATGGGTCGCCGGTCGGTCCAGTGGTACACTTGTGTCCTGGTGTGCTTGGCCAAGGAAGGTTTCCTGAAGGCTGCTGCTGCTAAACTGGGAGAAGGTGCAGGCAATGGCCAAATCCAAGGCCTTGTGTAGGAGGCAGGTGGTGTGTGGAAGAACTAATGCAGCCTCAGCCACACCCCAGGCCTGGTGCACACTTAGCACCTCCCCTGCCTATGTCAAGCCTTTCTGGACCTCAAGGGTTAGAGCTGTGGGAGTGGGAGGCTGGGAGGAGCAGGTGGGGACCTGGAATGTCCTGAAATCCCCATGATACTGACCTTCCAAGTTCTGTCCTTCCTCCACCCACCACCACTCTCCCTCCTAGTCTCTCCCACCCCTGTACTCCACTTCCCTCCATTCACTCTGCCTGTCCAGTGCATTGCTCCTGTGCTTCACTGTTGCTCTCCTACCTCCTTTGCATGCAGAAGGACCTGGCCTACCTGCAGCAATGGCTGAAGGCCTTTGTGGGGGCCTTCGAGAAGAGCATCTCACTGGCCTCGCTGGAGCCACGCAGGTGAGGCTGGAGCTGCCTGGGGGACAGGGCCAGGGCAGGGAGATTGTGGGGGAGTTAGTGCCCCAGTGACCCTGCTTTCTGCAGGCTGGAGGAGGCAGGAGCAGAGGTGCCACTGCTGCCTCTGGATGCCCTGCATGTGCTGGCCGAGCAGCTGAACCAGGGAGACCTGGAGCAGGCCCTGTTGCTGCTCAAACTCTTCATCATCCTCTGCAGGTGGGCCTCTGGGTTCTGCTCCAAACGTGCTCTCTTTCTCTCTCTCTCCCTCGGGTGTGTGTGTGTGAGTGTGTGTAACTGTAGGCCAGAGGGAAGGAGGGTGGGGATGGAGTGGCATATCACTGTGACCGCTCCCACTGTTCATTCTTCCAGAAACCTAGAGAATTTAGAAGCAGGCTGGGGCCTGCTGCTGGTGCCCCGGGTGCTGACACTTCTCACTGGGTTGGTGGTCCAGGTGAGGGGGCTCCACCTTGGTGTTGGGGAGGGTAGGTGGTAGCTATGGCCAGTCTAACTCTCCCACCATCATTTTTACCACAACTTATCACAGCTAAAGGAACCAGCATCCCTGCAGGAAGGCACTGGACCTCATCTGGAGAATGTGGCCTTGCATGCTCTACTCCTGTGTGAAGGCCTCTTTGACCCCTACCAGACCTGGCGACGTCAGCACAGCGGGTGAGCCCCAGCCCACTGACAGGGGACAGGGTGGAGGCTAGGGAGCACTAGACTGGGCAAAGGTCAAGGGCAAAAGTATAGAGGTGATCTGGGTATATGTTCAGGGGTGAGCCCAGGCTGGTGGCTCTTCAATACCTGACCTCACCTCCACCTGCTCTCCCCCACTCCCCAGGGAAGTCATCAGCTCCAAGGAAAAGAGCAAATACAAGTTTCCTCCTGCTGTTCTGCCCACCGAATTCAGCATCTTCTTCCGAGGTCAGGCCCAGCCCCTGGCCCCTGGCCACTGGCCCCAGCCCCAGGGCCCCTTCCTTCACTTGTCTGGTCCCACATTTGCAAGACCTGACCAGAGCAATGGTGGCTATACACAGGGATGGGAGAGCCACGGGGAACTCAGGAAGGCCAAGCTCAAAGGCAGAGAGGAGGTTAAGGGCATGTCTGGGCAAAATGAATTCTTCCTTTCCTCATCGGGAGCCAGGGCCTCCCGTCAGGTGGGAGCAGGGGGCCTCCCCACTCCTTTTGAGCAGCTTCAATTTCTCATCCCCTTCCTCTCCCATCTCCTGGAACCTGGCAGCACCTCACACCCACCCAGGACTAGACCATCTTAGAACTCATTGTTCACCTCCCTGCCCTTATGTCCTCCACCTAGTCTCCAGCTGCCCGCCTCAGGATAACGTCTGCACACGAGGGCTCCACCTCCAGCCCTTCACTCCCTCTTGATCCCTGCAGAGCTGACTCCCGGGACCTTTCTATCCACCTGTTATTTTCCATGGTGACCTTCTTCTATTCAGTCCCCTCAGGGCATGTCCCCTTCTGGAACTGTCATCCCCCAGCCCAAACACTCCGTAGTTCCATGGCGTATCTCAGAGTCACTGTGACACCTTACATTCCGGTGGGCTGCTATCGCCTTCCTACACTTGTGCCTGCCTCTGTCCAAGCAACATCGTGCCCTGAGCCCATCTCAAGTTCTCCGTTCTTCCCACAGCCTGGGTCTTACTGTTGTTAAGTGCCACCAAGTTGGTTCCAATTCATAGGGACCCTGTATGGGGGTCCCAAGGCTATAAATCTTTATAAGAGCAGAAAGCCTCATCTTTCTCCCAAGGAGTGGCTGGTGGGTGTGAACTTCCGACCTTGTGGTTAGCAGTCCAGTGCTTACCCTACAGCACCCCCAGCACTACCCTAACAGGCTGGATATTCTTAAAATAAACCAGATTTTCTTCCTTCCCTTTAAATCTGTCCCTGGTGGCTATTTGTTCCTTCCCCCAGCCCTCCTTTCCAGCTCCACTATTCTCTGCTCCCAGCTAGCTTGTCATTCCTAGAAAGCAACCAGTACTTCCTTCTTCCGTCACAAGTCATCTGTATACTCAAGTCTCTTCTCAAAAGCCCTTGGAGGCACTCACCCATCTACCTGAATTAAGGCAGCCCCCATATGACCTAGGGCTGGTCCCTTCTGTTCTCTGACTTTGAGTCTGTGGCCTGACCTCTTATCCAGCTTTGCTGGAACCAGGCCAGGTGGCCACCCCACATATGAGTCAGTGAAAGCCCCTAGAAGTCCCCGGCCGGCAGAGCTATAGAGGGGAAGGGAGGCCATCTGTATAGTAGACTCAGCAGGGTCCCCAGAGCAGGGTAGGCAGGCTCCAACTGTCACAGAAGCAGTAGGTACAGAGAGAGAAACGAAACCTTCCGTACTAGGGGGAGCGCAGGATGTGCTCACTCTGGGTCCCCTCCCACTTTGGGGCTGAAGGATCGAGAAAGTTGTCTGGGCCCTCAAGGTAACACCAAAGCCCCTGAGGGCTCCTTCACACACCCCAGCAAAGCACCATGATTCCTTAGACACCCCCTGCATGGGAGAGACCATGAACCCTCAGGCCTCCCAGGGCAGAGCCAGTTCTCCCACTTAGACTGAGTGTCCCATCCCTGTTAATTGTCTGACTCCACACCCCGGGGTCCCACTTTTTGTGCAGCCCCCATGTCCACACCCCAGCCACCTGGGTGACATGGTCCTGCCCTGCTCTCCTCCATCCAGAGAGCCTGCTGGATGCAGATCACCTGCCTCCCACGTTGCTGTTGCGTCTCATCCACCTCTTTAGCGCTGTCCTTGCAGGAGGGAAGGTAGTTTGGGATGGGATCCTGTAGGGTGGAGGGTGGCCATCTTAGGCTCTCTGCTGGATGAGCCCCACTGTCCCTCTCTGCCTCTGCATGCAGGAGAACGGGCAGATGGCTGTGAGCCCCGGCTCGGTACAGGGCCTTCTGGGTGTGGTGCGGAGCTGGGGCCGTGGACCTGCCCAGGACCCGCGTGTAATGCCGCTGGCACTGGAGGCACTGGTGGGTGCGGTCCATGTCCTGCACACAAGCCGTGCACCCCCCCGTGGGCCAGAGCTCCGGGCCTTACTTGAGGGCTACTTCTGTGTCCTGAACGCCGACTGGCCGACTGGTCCAAGCCCAGGCCCAGAAGAGACACTTGTCAGTCTGCGGGTCAGCATGCTTGGTGGGTATGGGCTCCTGGGCTGTGGGATAGAGGCACTGGGAGAGGAAGGACCAAGTGAAGGTAGAAAAACTGGACTGGGCAGCTCAGGGAGGAAAGTTTAGGGCCACTTGGTGGTGCTAGAAGGGGCATTGGGCAGGACCTGACTCTTTACCCCTCCACAGACACCATCCCCATGATGCTGGCTTGTGAGGACCGGCCAGTGCTGCAAGCGACCTTCCTCAGCAACAACTGCTTTGAACACCTCACTTGTCTCATCCAGAACAGCAAGGTGGGCAGGGACTGGACGGGGAACCCATCCTGCATACTGAGGGCACACAGGCTGGACCTAGCTGGGATGTAGTGGCCAGTGGGATTACCTATAGATCAGTGGGAAGGTTGGGGCATAGAAGGCCTGTCCTGGGACTTACATTGGGCCAGGCCTGGGGTTTAGGACAGTTCTTTACCCTGTGGGTGGGGTGCTGTAGAAGGACAAGGAGCTGCCCTGGCCCTTGTTTCCCATTCCCAAAGTACAGGGGCAGGGGGCGGGTCCGGCTGCTGTTGTATGCAATGGGTACTCTCGCCCATTCATCCGCCTTCTGACTCTACCCATCTAAGCTCAGGGGGTGGGTTGGGGGGGGTGGATTTAGCTCCTCTATTCTTCCCTTTTGCCTGGTGAGGGCACTTAGCCCCAGGGCTCAGGGCTCACATGTCCATCTGGGCAGAACCCTGGCAGCTGCCCCAGCTCCTGCTCTAACTACCCCTCCCCTATCTCCCTCCTCTTCTCTCTCTCTGCCTCTTCCACCCATGCCCCCCACAGCTGTATGTGCAGGCCCGGGTACCCCCTGAGGGGGACAGTGACCTGACTACCTGGTTACTGACTGAGCCCGATGTCCTGAAGGTACCACACTGGGGTTGGCCAGCTTAGGCCCCCACCTCCCTGGGGCACCCACCTCCTTGGGCTCCTGCCCCTGCAGCTCCTGGCTGAAATCTTTCTTGCACCAGCAGGGAGATGAGCAGATGTGGGTAAGGCCTGGTGTGGCCTAGTGGTGGGGGTCTGTGCCCCAGGCCGTGTTACCTCCTTGCCAGTCGCCATCCTAGAGAACAGGGCAGAGGATGGCCCATGCCCTACCTGGTGCTAGTATGAGGAGCTTAGATTTGGCTGTGCCAAACTGGCAGGAACCTTCGAAACTTTTAACTACCCACTCCCATTTCTCACGTGGAAAAAACCCAGTCCAGATGCTGAGGAATTTGGCTGCAGTCTTACATAGTGAAGGGGGTTTTCCTGTGGATCCTTGCACCAGCCTTAAGCAGGTTGCTGGGAGTCCCCTGCCCTCTCAGCCCACCTGGGGGTTATAGGATGCCTGAGCCCTGACCTACAGAGCCCCCAGCATGGTCTTGTTTCTTTGACAGCACCATGTGTCAACTGCGTTTTACCATTTTCTGAGTGCCTGCATGTCTCTTATGTGAAAGCAGGCAGGGCATGGATCATATCCCTGTGCTCTTATAGATAAGGAAACTGAGGCCTGGAGGGAGGGGAAAAGGAGGTTACCTGAGGTCACTTGGGAAGCAGAACAAAGCTGTGACCAAAGGCTCCATGTGGCTAAAGTACCTCACACCTGCTGACAAACTTCCCCAGTCCCTCCTGACCCTTCATCTTTCAGGGTGGGGCAAGGGGCTCAGCCTGTGCGACCCTCAGTGTCCACAACATGCCAGCAGACAGGGTAGGATCAAAGGTTTCGAAGGTTCTGACGGTTATAACATCCTGCGATTGATTGTCCCTAAACTCCCCCACCCCTGTCAATCACTATGGCTGATGGGTACTCGCTGGCCTGCCTGCACATGCGTATAGCTTGGGGGAATGGGGTGGGGGCTGGGCCCCTGAGCCTGCCAGGAAGTGGTGGTCCAGGAGGGACCTGCAGTGAAAGGTTTGTCTGTTGATCTGCCCCTCTGAGGCCCTTCCCTGACCTCTTTGTCAGATTGGGTTCAGGGTCATGGTCTTGGATGTCAGACCTCTCGGCTGCCTGCCTAGGGAATGCATTCCTGGCCCTGTACTCCTTTTCCTGAAGGCTACTGCCAGCTATAACATCCTGGCTCCTGCCTTTCCTAACTGCCCTTCTTCACCCCAAGGTACTGGACCAGGACACAGATGCCATTGCAGTCCACGTTATCCGGGTGCTGACCTGCATCATGAGCGGCTCCCCCTCGGCCAAGGTGAGGACACTGGGTTCTGCTGCCAAGGTAGAGAGCAGGTGGAAGTGACTCTGACCTCCCGTGTCCAGAATTGGCTTGGTCGGGGACTATGAACCCTGCTCTCTGAAGCAGAGCAAGTGACCGTCCTGCCCTCCAGGGTTCAGCCCACTGGACAGGCATGCTTTCTGGTCAGTGCTGGGAGCCTGGGACAGGGCTGGAGGAGGGAAGAATGCTTGAGGGCTTACCACTGTCTGCAGCCTTTTGGAGTGGCCCCCACCAGCATGGAAATTCAAAGACAAAGCCAGGCAAGGGGCTCCCAAAAGCTGAGGCCCCTTCCAGGGGTTCTATGTGGTATACGTTCACCATGGGTCCCCCCCACACAGTGGATGCTCATTCTTCCTCATTCCCCGCCACCCTCCCAGGAGGTGTTTAAGGAGCGTATTGGCTACCCTCACCTGCAGGAGATTCTGCAGAGCCACGGCCCCCCTACCCATCGGCTGCTGCAAGAGCTGCTCAACATGGTAAGGGAAGGGGTTAGGGTCAAGGCCCCCATGGAAGGAGAGCTCTCCATTTGGAGGGCCGTGCTGACTGTGGCCAGTGCACTATGTGACCTATGGCAGACTACACATGTCAGTGTCACTGGGGTGGGACCCTGGAAGCTGCTGCATATCTCCAAGTCCCAGGATCCTCCTGGGGACATGCAGTTGGAGTTAGGCCAACTAGGGCTGAAAGTGGTGCCTCAGGCTCAGGGAGGACTGTAGTTTACTAGTGATGGTCTTCCATGTGCTTTTCCTGGGGCGCACACACAATCCATGAGCAGAATTGGTGGTGCTTCTTGCTTTCCCATGCTGTAGGCAAGTAAACCGATGCAGGAAGTCTCACTGAGGCAGGGTGGCCTGTGCTTTGGCACCGTTGCCTGGGGACTGTCATATTCTTTCCACCCACAGGCGGTAGAAGGTGACCACAGCATATGCCCACCACCACCAATCCGCAATGAACAGCCGGTGCTGGTGCTGATGCGGTGGCTACCATCACTGCCCACGGCCGAGCTGCGGTTCTTCCTAGCACAGCACCTTTGGTGGCTCTGTGACAGCTGCCCTGCCAGCCGTGCCACCTGCGTGCAGGCAGGCCTGGTGGGCTGCCTGTTAGAGACCCTCAGCACAGGGCATGCCCTGGGGGCCCGCTGCCAGGAGCAGCTATTGTTGCTGCTGCAAGCACTGGGCAGCGTGTCCCTCAGGCCCATGGAGCTGCGGCGCCTTCTGCGGCCCCCACTGGAGCTGGACTCGGGGCCAGATGGAGCTGAGGCCAGGAACGCCCGGCATGCAGGGGCCATCATCCGTGTGTTGTCAGGCATGGCCAGCCACCAGGGCCCCCCACGGGCCCTGCGCTACTTTGACCTCACGCCCAGCATGGCTGGCATCATGGTGCCCCCAGTGCAACGCTGGCCTGGACCTGGCTTCACCTTCCATGCCTGGTTTTGTCTGCACCCCATAGCCATAGCGCCTGTCCCTACCCCTACCCAGCCACTCCAGCGAAAGCAGCTGTACAGGTGGGTGACAGCCAGGGGGGTCAGGGGCATGGTACAGGGGGAGCTGGAAGGCCCACAGACGTAACTGGCCTAGCCTGCCCTCAGCTTCTTCACCAGCAATGGCTCGGGGTTTGAGGCCTTCTTCACAGCAGCTGGGACACTGGTCGTGGCCGTGTGCACCCGGAAGGAATACTTGACCATGAGCCTGCCGGAAGTGTCCTTCGTCGACTCAGCCTGGGTGAGCCTTGCTCATGAGGCAGAGAAGTCAGGGGGTGGGGTGCCAAGCATCACCCACAGCCTGATGTCACGGCCTGTTTTTAGCACTGTGTGGCCATCGTCCATGTGCCTGGGCGCCGGCCTTTCAGCCAGAACCTGGTCCATGTCTACAAAGATGGTCATCTGGTCAAGACAGCACCCCTTCGCTGTCCCTCCTTCAGTGAGGTGTGCCAGGCAGTGTTCTGGGGCTTGGGGCTGGTGGGGGAGACTTGTGTGGAGGGACAGAGTAGCACCTGGGGCTCTCCCCAACAGTCCTTGACTGGTGGCCCTGGGAGAGGCTGGGTGCAGGTGGAGACTTAGGCTGTGCTGTGGTCTCACCATGTCCTCTCCTGGCTCTGCAGCCCTTCTCCTCCTGCTGCATCGGCTCTGCTGGGCACCGCACCACCACCACCACAGGGCTGCCTGAACCACCGTGCCCTGCCCACCCCTCACTTACCCGCTCTCAGTCAGTCCCGGCCTCGGCCTCCACAGGACTGGGCTGGGGGTCTGGGCTGGTGGCCCCTCTGCAGGAGGGCAGCATCAGCTCTACCCTGGCAGGCACACAGGACACACGGTGGGGTAGCCCCACGTCCCTGGAGGGTGAGCTAGGAGCTGTGGCCATCTTCCATGAAGCCCTGCAGACAGCACCTCTGCGGGTCCTTTGCACCCTGGGTAGGCAGCACCATCTATCCTTCCTTCCCCATTCCCTACCTGTTATCCCAAACCCAGGTGAGGTGCCAAGGCCTGACACTGGGCCCAGGGAGGGAGAGGCATCTCTCAGGTCTGTCCTTGGGTCAGACAAAGAAGAGTCAGACTTGGGATGGGGTTTGGCCAGAGTCCCAGCCGGGTCTAAATTCCCTGCCCACTCCCAGGGCCCAATGAGATGGCGCCCTTCAAGCCTGAGGGTGAACTGCATGAGCTTGGCACCAAGCTGCTCCTCCATTACTCACCTCAGGTACAAAGTGGGGGGGCAAACTTCCACACCCCATCTGCTTGCCCCTCCTCCACCTGCCCCTTCTGACCTGCTCACCCCCTCTCTGCTCCCAGGCCTGCAAGAACAACATTTGCCTAGACCTGTCCCCTGGCCACGGGCTGGACGGTCGCCTGACAGGCCACAAGGTGGAGACCTGGAATGTAAAGGTGCTGTGTGTACAGGGCAGGCTGGGGAGTAGACTGTGCCCAGGAGGGGTCCTGGACTGAGGTTCCTGGGCTGGAGGGTCTGCAGGGTGAAGCAGCTACCTGGCACGGAGCTGCCCACTCACTGCTGCCCTGTGCCATCAGGATGTGGTGAACTGTGTCGGGGGCATGGGTGCCCTGCTGCCCTTGCTGGAGCAAGTGGCTGCACAGCCTCAAGAACCCGAGGTGGGCCCAGCCGAAACACATGACCTCGTGGGGCCTGAACTGACCTCTGGCCACAGCGCTCGTGGCCTACTTCTCCCACTGGGCAAATCCTCAGGTACATGTCCCAGACACCAGGGAGGAGAGTGCTGAGTGCTGGAGGCCTCTAAGGCTGCCCACAGGCCCTTGACAAATACCTGTCCCCGGCAGAGGAGCGGATGGAGAGGAATGCCGTGGCTGCCTTTCTGCTGATGCTGCGGAACTTCCTGCATGGTCACCCTGTGAACCAGGAGAGCCTGGTGCAGTGCCAGGGGCCTGCCATCATCGGGGCCCTCCTGCGCAAGGTGGGGCCTGGTGGTGCAGCCGAGAGGGGTCCCCTGTCTGACCAAGGGGGCAGCCACTTGGCAGAGGGAGCATTTGAGCAGGACCTAGGAAGGCTGGCCAGAGCTTATCAGGGAGGGCCAGTAGAGGGAATGGCACAGGGCAAGTCCAACCCAGGGTAGAGCAGAGGACTGGCACAGCGGGCCGAAGAGCCCACACTTAGGAGGGAGCAGGAACCCACCAAGGGTTGGGAGCTGGGTGGCCGTTTTCATTTGTTTTCCCATCTGCTGTGCAAGGAAGGGTGGAAGCTGGGCAGCCTGGACAGCACACAGGCAGGACCCTGACCTCTCACCCCACCCCATCTCCCACTCCAGGTCCCAAGCTGGGCCATGGACATGAATGTTCTCATGTCCACCCAGCTGCTGATGGAGCAGGTGGCAGCCCAGGGCAATAGACCCCTCTTGTATCTGCTCTACCAGCATTTGCTCTTCAACTTTCACCTCTGGACCCTCAGTGACTTTGCTGTGCGCCTCGGTGGGTGAGGGCACGTAGGTGGGGGATGGTTGCAGAGTGGGTAAGGGAAGTTCTGTGGCTCTGACCTGCCTGGGGTGTGGGCATACAGCTCTCCCCTGAGTCTAAGGGGAACATAGTGCAGCCTAAGGTGTCTAAGGAACACCTGGGGGCCTGAGACCTCTGCTGATGCCCACTCAGGCCACATCCAGTACATGTCTAGCATAGTCCGTGAGCACAGACAGAAGCTGCGGAAGAAATACGGAGTCCAGTTTATCTTCGATGCCCTGCGCACCCACTACAGGTGAGGGTGGAGGAGTAGGTGGGCCACTGGGGCTGACTCTTTGACCTCTGACCTTGGGGATAGCGCAGTCTCCTCCTCAGTTCACCAGCCCCACTCTCCTTGTTTTCCTCTGTACCTTGTGCTTTTCTGGACCTGGGTGGGTGTGTCTGCTGGGACCTGGCTAGCCCACAGCGGGAGCGCCCCCTTGTGGCTGACGACCTACGCGTGGTGCAGACCTCACTCCTGGGCCTGGCTCGGGAGTACCTGATGCGGAGCTTCTCCGCTGAGGACATGCAGGTCGTGCTGAACTTTCTGGCTGCTGCCACTGATGATGGACAGGTAGACTGAAGGTTGGGTGAGAGCCAGCTGAGGGCTGGATGGGGATCACAGTGGGGCTCAGCCCAGTGTGAGACTTTGCATTGCCAGGTTGTAGGCACATTGGACCTGTTACTGGTGCTGTTACAAGGCTCACCGGCACAGGAATCGCTGGCGGCCTTCCTGCTGGAACCAGGGAACTTAGAGGTGCTGCTGACACTGCTCGTGCGGCCAAAGTCACTGCCCCTGCTGCCTGACCAAGTCTGCAAGGTACACCCTCCCCTTCCAGTGCTGTCTGGGCTCTGCAGAGCAGGAGTCAGTGCATGAAACTGCCTTCTCAGGCTCCTCCTATAGAGACACACCTTCTTGGTGACTTTCCTTCCCACAATAATGACACTCCCTCCCTGCCAACCATTCCCAGATCCTGCGCAGACTTCAGCAGAATGAGCGCTTGCCTGAGCGCAGTCGTCAGAGGTTGCGGCTGAGGGAGTGTGGTCTCCAGGGCCTTGTTGCCTGCCTGCCTGAAGGGACCGTTTCCCTACAGCTCTGCCAGGGCCTTTACAAGCTGTTCCTGGGGGCAGGTACAATCTGGTTGCGACTAGGTGAGGGGCTGATGGGCTCACGTGCATACAGGAAACAGGGCAGGTAGGATGGGGAAGGAGGCAGTTGAGGGGCTGGGACTGAGGTAGCAGGGAAGCCTACTCCTTCCCCACTGCCAACATTGGGGTCTGTACTTCAAGCCCCCTCTGCTATCTTCCCAGATTGCCTGAACCTCTCAGATCTGATGGCCGTGGTACAACTGTCCCTCCAAGCTGACCTTAATGTCCGCCTAAACATTTGTCGCCAAGTGAGTGTGGGCAGTGAAAGTGGGAGGGTCTTCTCATCTCAGCACTTCACTTTGCCTGTGTTGAGGGGTCTCTGGAGGCCTCCCCTGCTCAGATCCTCATTGCTGTGCTCTGACTTGGCAGCTCTTTGACCTCATCTATGAACAGCCAGACGTAGTGCGGCTTCTGGCCCGCCAGGCCGGCTGGCAGGACGTGCTGACCCGGCTGTATGTCCTGGAGGCCATGATTGGTGCTCCCCCACCTTTTCCCCCAGAGCCCCCCACTTCCCCAGAGCCAGCTCTGCACAAGTCACCCACAGATTCACCTCCTGAGCCTTCTGACGTCTTCCTACCCTCAGAGGCCCCCAGCCCTGAACCAGATGCCTTCTATCAGGCTCTCTCCCCGTTCTGCACACACTTTGACCTGGGTCTGGAACGGGCCAGCGTGGGCTCTGGCAATACCATCAGCGGTGGCAGCAGCAACGGGACTCTGACTCCTGCCAGCCAGCCTGGCACACCCTCCCCACTGGATGGGCCCCGACCCTTCCCTGCTGCCCACGGCCGCCACAGCTCCAGCCTCTCCAATGTGCTGGAGGACGGCAGCCTGCTGGAGCCCACTGTCAGTGGGGATGACTCCTCCAACACCAGCAACCCTCAGGTGAGGCGGCACCACAGGGTGCTGTGCAACACCCAGGGGAGGTCGCCTTTGGGACTCAGGTGGGGACCAGCCCGGCCCCAGGGCTGCAGTTGCCAGTTAGGTCCAGTGCTGCTCCCTTGTCGCTCTCAGTCTCTGTTGTGTTCCCAACATGCTGAACCAATGTGGGGGTGATGGCTAAGCTTTCCAAAGGCCCTAACAGAGACTGTAGGGCAGAGAGAATACAGAGCTAAGGGAAGCAAAGAAGGGGTCCTGGGCTTAGGGAAGGGTGTCTACTCATTCTATAGGGTCCTTCCAGGGAATTCTTAGATCAGTCATAAAATGAGGTGATTTTGGAGATTGCCTTGTCTCCTTAGTCTACTGAGACTAGGATTTAATTCAAACAGGATCTGAGGTTCCTACACCATCTTCCCAGACCCTGAGCGCTGGGTGGACAGTTGGCTGAATTGCTTTGGCCTTGCAGGACCTACTAGGGAGTGGACAATGAATACTGAGCAGGGCTGGTGTGGGGGTCAGCCTGAGTCCCTCCCTTGCCAGCTCAGAGCCCAGCCCACCACCCTGACCTGTGCCCACAGCAAACCTCTGAGGAAGAGCTATGCAACTTGCTCACCAACGTGCTGTTCTCAGTGACGTGGCGGGGCGTGGAAGGTAGTGATGAAGCTGCCTGGCGGGAGCGCGGTCAGGTCTTCTCAGTGCTCACTCAACTAGGGGCCTCAGCGACGCTTGTACGCCCACCAGATTGCATCAAGCGCAGGTGAGGTGAAGGCCGATGGGAAGCCTGGGGGCAAGCAAGGCAGCCGGGTAGACATCTGCATCCTTTGGCCACCCACAGCCTCCTGGAGATGATGCTTGAGTCAGCCCTGTCTGACATCAAAGCGGCCTCACCAGGGATCATGGGCAGCCTCACGCAGCAGGCTCTTTGGCTGCTGCGTCTGCTACAGGACTACCTGTGCGCTGAGGGCCATGGAAATCAGGAGCTGTGGAGCGAGAAGGTGGGGACTCAGGGGAGCCGGAGCCACAGGAACACCCATGTGACTGAACACTCTCAGGCCTCAGGGTGCTTCTGGCTCAGAGCTCTGGGCTGAGGGGAGCACCTGTGTGCACGGTTGTCTGTGAGCGTGAACTTGTCTGGGTGCAAACCTTCCTTGCCTTAACCATCCCAGACCTTCCCTTGCCCCCTTCCCTGTGGGCTTCTGACCACACCTGGTGACATGTGCTGGGAATATGTCATACGTGGCAGCTCTTTGAAGGTGTGTGCAGCTTGCTTGACCGACTGGGGGCCTGGCCGCACCTGGCCAATGGCACAGCAGATCTCCGGGAGATGGCACAGATTGGCCTGCGCCTGGTGCTGGGCTACATACTGCTGGAGGACCCGCAGGTAAGCACGTTGTTGGGGCAGGTGGGGAGGAATGGCAGAGGCGGAGGGGAGGGAGCTCCAGGTGAGGCTGGGCTGCACCCACACCTTTCCTGTCCCAACAGCTGCATGCCCAGGCCTACGTGAAGCTGCACGCGCTGCTGCAGACTGCGGTGCCTGTGCGCCGCCAGGAGGCCTGCTACGTGCTCTCCAAGCTAGAGGCGGCCTTGGCACGGGCGCTCAACACCTCCTCCTCTGAGACAGCAAGCGGGGCCGATGGGCCCCCAAACCCAGCTGCTGCAACTTCAGAGCGCTGCTCCTGGCTGGTGCCCTTGGTGCGCACCCTGCTGGACCGTGCCTATGGGCCACTTGGGCTGCAGTGGGGGCTGCCCTCTCTGCCACCCACCAATGGCAGCCCCACCTTCTTCGAGGACTTCCAGGCCTTCTGTGTCACACCTGAATGGCGCCTCTTCATCGACAAGCAGGTGCCTAGAGATGAGGGCCAGGGAGGAGAAATGAGAGGTGGGGCCCCACTTGAATACCCTCTTCCTGCCCAATCATTCAGGTGCAGCCCACCATGTCGCAGTTTGAAATGGACACATACGCTAAGAGCCATGACCTCATGTCGGGCTTTTGGAATATCTGTTATGACACACTCATGAGCAGCGGACAGCAGCACCAGCGAGAGCTTACCCGAAGCCGCAAGGCCTTCCAGGTGTGCAGCCTGGGGTGGAGGCTGAGGGGCTGCTCCACACATGTACCCAGTGGAGGTGGCTGACAGGACGGAGTGGAGAAATGGGGGCAGGCCAGACAGCAGCCCACAGAACTCACTCACCCTCCCTCCACTCCCCAGGCACTGGTGGTGGAACCCACACAGCGGCGTGCCCGCCTGGAGGGGCTTCGCTACACAACTGCACTGAAGCAGCAGGCGGCCCAGCACTCCACGGCCTTGCTGCACTGGGGGGCACTGTGGCGCCAGCTCTCCAGCCCCTGTGGGGCCTGGGCGCTGAGGTGGGCCAGTCTTCAGGTAGAATTAGAGTGGAAGGATGGGACTTCATAGGTAGCTATGAAAACCTGGAAAACGAGACTGTTTGCGGTGGCGCCAGGGTGGGTCACTGAAGCCCAGGAGGGAAGAGGAGGTCAATAGCCTTCTACCCTCTCATGACCACTGAGGACATACCCACAGGGACCCTCCCACCCCCCGCTGGAAGCTGTCCAGCGCTGAGACATACTCCCGCATGCGCCTGAAGCTGGTTCCCAACCATCACTTTGATCCTCACCTGGAAGCCAGTGCCCTGCGGGACAACCTGGGTGAGGGGCTGTGCTGAACTGATTCTACCCAAGCTCCTATGCCCCACCTGCTGAACTACAGCTGACTGTCCCTGATCCCACTACAGGGGAGGCCCCACTGACACCTAATGAGGCTTCGCTGCCTCTGGCAGTAACCAAGGAGGCCAAAGTCAGCACCCCTCCCGAGGAGCTACAGGAAGACCAGCTAGGCGAGGATGAGATGGCTGCGCTGGAAATGGAGTAAGTGGGCCTGGGAGCAGGCCCTGGAAAGGTCTGTGTGTGCGTGTGTACCTGCTGTACACCAAGTCTGTGTACCGAGTCTGTCCTGCTGCTGAGCTCTACACATGAAAGCACTGACCACAATGAGGTGGGGAGTTTGGGAGAGTGTTCTAGCAGGGTTGATGATTGCACTTTAATGGCTAGACATCTGAGAGAGGACTGAGAAACAGAATGGATTAGCCCATGGGAAAAGTCATGGGCTGGGCTAGGAAACTAGAGGACAGGGCAAGATGTTCAGAAGTGGTGGGGGTGCTGAGCTCTGAGAAACTTCCTACAGGTATGAGTGTACATACACCTCACACCCGGGTTGGGGCCCAGGGAATGTGAACTCTTGGGCTTGCTGGGTGGGGGTCCCAGAGCCTAAAGCCTGAAGTAGGTGCTGGCCCCCAGGATGGACGCAGCAGAATTAGATGAACAGCACGAGAAGCTGGTGCTGTCAGCTGAGTGCCAGCTGGTCACAGTGGTGGCTGTGGTCCCAGGGCTGCTCGAGGTGACCACGCAGCACGTGTACTTCTACGACGGCAGCTCTGAGCGCGTGGAAACTGAGGATGGTGAGCCTGCTGGGATGAGCTAGGTGGACGGCAGGCAATGACTGGGGTCTGAGACAAGTGACTCCCACACCCACCACTCATCCCCTTAGGAATTGGTCATGACTTTCGGCGTCCGCTGGCCCAGCTGCGGGAGGTCCACCTGCGCCGCTTCAACCTGCGCCGCTCAGCTCTTGAGCTCTTCTTCATTGATCAGGCCAACTACTTCCTCAACTTCCCTCGAAAGGTGTGTGGCTCTCCAGCCTCATCCCCTCACCAGGCCCCAAGTCTACCCAACTGCAGCTGAGCCCCAACCTTACCTGGTCCCACCTTGACCACACCCAGGTACGGAACCAGGTGTACTCATGCCTCCTGCACCTGCGGCCCCCCACTCAAGGCTACCTGGGCAGCCGCTCACCCCAGGAGATGCTGCGCAACTCAGGTCTTACCCAGGTGACAGCCCGGGGTTTGAGGGGGTGGAGGGCTGTGAGATCAGGACCTGAGGGAGGGGGGAGTACTGAACAGACCAGATGACTCACCTCTTGCCCCTGCCCCTGCCCACCAGAAATGGGTGCAGCATGAGATATCCAATTTTGAGTACTTGATGCAACTCAACACCATAGCGGGGCGGACCTACAACGACCTGTCTCAGTACCCTGTGGTGAGGGCCCCACCCACACCCCTACCCTCTCTGGTCAGCCCTTGTTTCAGTCAAGCGTAGCTACCTGCCAGTGGGTCATGCCTGAGCTTGGTCCCAGCTTCGGTGTGCATCACTGACGGAGACCTGACTTCCGTTCCCTGCCACTTCTCCCCTCCCTTTCTAGTTCTGTCATCCCGAAGTGAGCCCTGTCCTAAGACAGTCTATCATGCTCTCCTGTGGCCCCTAAAACTGGTGCTCCCCCACCTGTGAACTCTGTGTCCATCTTCCTGAGGGTGAGGGCCAGGTGGGGTAGGCAGGTAGGCCACCATGGCCCTCATGCAGCCACTATCTGGGTGGGTGGCCAGTTCCCCTGGGTCCTGCAGGATTACGTGTCCCCAACCCTGGACCTCAACAACCCGGCTGTCTTCCGGGACCTGTCCAAGCCCATCGGTGTGGTGAACCCCAAGCATGCCCAGCTCGTGAGGGAGAAGTGAGCGCATGGGCAGGCCCGGGCTTGGGGGGTAGGGATGGGTGAAGGGTGAGTTTCGGCTGACTACCCCCATCTGCTGTGGCCCCAGGTTTGAGAGCTTTGAGGACCCAGCAGGCACCATTGACAGGTTTCACTATGGCACCCACTACTCCAACGCAGCAGGCGTGATGCACTACCTCATTCGCACAGAGCCTTTTACTTCCCTGCACGTCCAGCTGCAGAGTGGCCGGTACAGCCCGGGGCAGGGAGACATGGAGAGCGATGGGTTGTGGGGGTCAGGCTGGGCTTCGTTTCCCCCATGCACACCTCTCCCTCCCTTTCCCTGTTTTCCTACCTCACCTTTGACCCCTGTGCCTCTCTCCAGCTTTGACTGCTCTGACCGCCAGTTCCACTCAGTGGCAGCTGCCTGGCAGACCCGCTTGGAGAGCCCTGCCGACGTGAAGGAGCTCATTCCCGAGTTCTTCTACTTCCCTGACTTCCTGGAGAACCAGAATGGTAGGAGTGAGGTGTTGCCTGTGTCCTGGGGGTCATAGGTGCTGGAGTGGCCAACTGACTTGCCCCCATTTTAGGCTTTGACCTGGGCTGTCTCCAGCTGAGCAATGAGGAGGTGGGGGATGTGGTGCTGCCGCCGTGGGCCAGCTCTCCTGAGGACTTCATCCAGCAGCACCGCCGAGCTCTGGTGAGGGGATGACCATACAGATTAGAGGGCAGCCAGGAGCAAGGGATCAAGGTATGGGGCAGCTATCCCTGGACTGACTGCCTCTCCCTGACCCCAGGAGTCCGAGTATGTGTCTGCCCACCTGCATGAGTGGATCGACCTCATCTTTGGCTACAAGCAGCGGGGACCTGCAGCTGAGGAGGCCCTGAATGTCTTCTATTACTGCACTTATGAGGGTAGGTGGTACCCTGGACACAGTGGGCCCAGGAGAGCTGAGGAGGGGTGAATGCAGAGAGCACAGAAGGCAGCTTGAATGCTCTGCTTACCTCCCCAGGAGCTGTGGACCTGGACCATGTGACAGATGAGCGGGAACGGAAGGCTCTGGAGGGCATTATCAGTAACTTTGGGCAGACCCCTTGTCAGCTGTTGAAGGTAAGATCCACTTGCAGAATGCTCATGAGCCAGCGATATCCATGCTAGGGTGCTGACTGGCTGTTCACCCACAGGAGCCACACCCAGCCCGACTCTCAGCTGAGGAAGCAGCCCACCGTCTTGCACGTCTGGACACTAACTCCCCTAGCATCTTCCAGCACCTGGACCAGCTTAAGGCCTTCTTTGCAGAGGTGAGAAGAGGGCAGGATCTCAAATTCCTCTCTGTGAAATGGATTTAACTCCCTTACCCTCACTATGTTCTGTGACAACTGAGAAGTCTAAATCCTGTTCACTGATTTTTAAGGTACCTTGGAAAAATCAGGAAAAGTGAAAGGAGTATCAGGGGTGGGTGTAAAGGCCAGGACAAGGTGTTGACTCACCTAACCATCTTCTGAAAGCCTTAGGGAGACTAGAAGGGAGAGCTTTAGCCTGGACACCCTCCCTCACCTTCCTGCCTGCAGCCTAGAATGTTGCCCCAGCTTTACTGGTTTTGAGGCTCCCTTAGCACTCGGCTGCTAACTGAAAGGTTGGAGCTTAAAATCTACAAAGAGATCTTGGAGTCAGGTGATCTAGTCCTGCAGTAGCAACCACTGGACCACAGTTCTATGGAGCACAGCTCTACTCTGACCCGTGGGGGGGTCGTCATGAGTTGGAATCAATTCTCTGGCAGTTGTGTTTTTGCCTCTAGCCAGCAGACGGGGGATGTGGGATAACGGGATTGGAGGAGCAGGACCCAGCTTCCTTGTCCTGGCTCACTCACTTTCTGAGATATCGTCCCAGGGACGAGGGGGGCCTGCCCCTATGATGCTGAGCCTGTGGCCCCTGGGGGTTGAGGTCAGAGGAGGGGTTGGTGTCCCAGGGAATAGATTGTGCTGCGAGGGCCCCTACTGTCCACTTGTCAGTGCTAGCCCTGCACTGTACCCTGCAGGTTGTGAGTGATGGTGTGCCCCTGGTGTTGGCCCTGGTCCCCCATCGGCAACCCCACTCCTTCATCACCCAGGGTTCCCCAGACCTGCTGGTAAGTGTAATGGGTGGGGCCCCATCTTGGCTCCATCTCTTCTCTGACTTTACCTGAAACTCACCTCTTCCTGCTCCTGCCTGCAGGTGACTGTGAGTGCCAATGGGCTGCTGGGCACCCATAGCTGGCTGCCCTATGACCGAAACATAAGCAACTACTTTAGCTTCAGCAAAGATCCTGCCATAGGCAATCCCAAGTAGGACATGGGGCTGTGGGTGGGGGTCATTTCCCCTCCTAATCCAATGTAGGCTGGCCAAAATCTCTGAGGGTCTAGGTTTCTCCTCTTTGGCCTGACTTCATCTATCATCCCCCTCCCTGGGTCAGGATGCAGCGATTTCTGAGTGGCCCATGGGTGCCAGGCAGTGGTGTCAGTGGACAAGTCCTGGCAGTGACCCCTGATGGGAAGCTATTGTTCAGCGGAGGCCACTGGGACGGCAGCCTGCGAGTAACTGCGCTACCCCGCGGCAAGCTTCTGAGTCAGCTGAGTCGCCACCTTGGTATGGACGGCCTGAGAGTGGGTGAGGGAGAGTATTCAGGTGGGACTCTGAAGGTTCCAGGAAGGATGTGACTGCTTTGTTCTGTCTGTCCCCTCCCCCTGCAGATGTAGTAACCTGCCTTGCACTGGACACCTGTGGTATCTACCTCATCTCAGGCTCCCGGGATGCCACGTGCATGGTGTGGCGGCTCCTGCAGCAGGTGTGCCTGGTGGGCAGCCCCTGGTGGATTCCATGGTACCCTCAGGCTCTCCAGTCGTGCCCCTCTGTCTTCCCTTTCCTTCCACTACTGTGAGCAAAGCTGGAGCTCCATCATCCTCCAGGCTCACTGGCCTGGAACAGGACCTTCACTCTCCTGAGACTCTTGTCCCCTTATTCAGGGGCCGGAGGTGGGGGTGGTGGGGGGCTACTGCCAGTCCTGAGCCAGCCTCGGGTCCCCACAGGGTGGTCTGTCGGTAGGGCTGGCACCAAAGCCTGTCCAGGTCCTATACGGGCATGACACTGCAGTGAGTTGCGTGGCCATCAGCACTGAACTTGACATGGCTGTATCTGGATCCGAGGTGGGTGTATATGCATGTACTCTGGGGAGGGTGGTTTGTTTGGGGCATTGTCCCTAGAGCCCAGAGGTCCTTGCCAAGCACCCTAAGCTGCCTTCCTGCAGGATGGAACAGTGATCATCCACACTGTACGCCGTGGCCAGTTTGTGGCAGCACTGCATCCTCCAGGTGCCACATTGCCTGGACCCATCTCCCACCTGGTCCTGGGATCCGAGGGCCAGATTGTGGTACAGAGCTCAGCACACGAGCGTCCAGGGGCCCAGGTACAGGGAAGGGATAGCCAGCAAAGGCAGACGGGGGGCAGGGAGTAGGAGTCTTGTCTTTGCTGACATCTCCTTCCTCCAGGTCACCTATTCCTTACACCTGTACTCAGTGAATGGGAGGCTGCGGGCGTCAATGCCCCTGGTAGAGCAGCCCACAGCCCTAGCTGTGACTGAGAACTTCGTTCTCCTGGGCACAGCCCAATGCACTTTGCACATCCTCCACCTGAACAAGTGAGTCTTTCTACTTAGGGGTTCAGGGTGGTGGTGATTGGTAAGGACACTAGGATGTGCCCTCCTCCCCCTTCCCCCCCCCCCCCCCCCTTTATCACTTTGTATGTCCCTGTACTCTGCTTTCAAGGCCTGTCATCTGCCCCCTCATATCCCAATGGGGAGATCTTGCCTTGGCCTTCTCTTGCTGTACCTTAAGGATCAGGATTTCAATTCTCCCTGTTACGTGCCATCAAGTGGGCTCCAACTCTTAGCGATCCTATATAGGGTTTTCTCATCTTTCTCCAGTGGAGGAGCTGGTGGGTTTGAATCATGGGCTGGGTTTATCATATGGGGCTACTGCGCCCCTCTTAAAATGACCTAGGAGAGGGTGGGCCTCGCCTCAGGCTTATGGGAAAACAGACACAGTATTCTCCTACCCAGACTGCGCCCAGCCGCGCCTCCCCTGCCCATGAAGGTGCCCATCCGTAGCCTGGCCGTGACCAAGGAGCATAGCCATGTGCTCGTGGGGCTGGAGGACGGCAAGCTTATCGTGGTGGGCGCAGGACAGCCCTCTGAGGTGAGGAGAGGGGTAGGGCGGGCCTCAGGTGGGGTGTTATGGCCCCGGCTGACAGCTCTCACTCCCACAGGTGCGCAGTGGCCAGTTTGCACGGAAGCTTTGGCGGTCCTCGCGTCGCATCTCCCAGGTGTCCTCAGGGGAGACAGAGTACAACCCCTGTGAGGCGCGCTGAAAGCCTGCCCTGCCCAGCTGCTCAGGCCCCGCCCCAGGGGCTCCACCCCAGAAGGCCCCGCCCAGGAGTCGGCGGGAATGCTAAAGAAGAGGCGATGCGGCAATCAGTCCGCGCTCTGGGGGTGGGCCTGGTCCCACCCTCACGCCCAGCTCAGGGATTTGTGGAGGTGGTGTCACTCCAGGAAGTCCCGCCCCTCGCCGGCAGAGGGGCTGCCCTAACTCCGACCTGGCCCCTCTCGGGCCACTGCAGCAGTTTTGCACAGTTTGGGGCGGGAATCCCCGGCTCCGGAGCCTCAGTCTGGTGGAGCACAGGGGCCAGCCCGTGGCCTTAATCCCAAAGGCGGCCCCCGCTCTTCCATTCTCAGCAATAAACCTGGCCTAGTTTTGTAGCTGCTCTGCCTCTGTGGTCACTTACCTCTAGGTCGCTGCCTCGCGGTCTGTCCTGGCTCGTCTCTTAGCCCATGACTCCCTCCTGGTTTGATTGACTCTGTTAGAGTGCTTCCGCTGACTTGGGGACTCAAGTTTCCCCGACCACATCGTATCCCTTCAGTCCGCGCCCCGCCATTTGTAAAAGCCCTGTACTCCCTCAGCCCTTCACTAGGTCTTCCCTGCAGGTCATTCAAAAGTCCGCGCCAGTGCTACCCTCAAGCTCTATCTCCTGCTCCACCTCCGCCGTCTAGCCCCGCCCCACCTCAGTCCGGACCCCTCCCCTAGTCCCACCCGGTGCACCGCCCTGGTCCGGGCGGAACAGAACCTAGCTCTTAGGGATTCCGCGCCGTCTTCCCCGCCCGTCCGCTTGCCTCAGGAGAGCTGAGCGGCCTCCGAGGCCCCAACTCCTTAAGGCAGAGCGGATCCCCGGAACTGCAGAGAGGCGGCCGCCGCAGGTGAGGAAGGGGTAGTGGAGGAGTCTCAATCCACTGAGGTCTCGTGGGTGTTGTGCCTTGTGGGATGTGGGTGGAGAGACAGACTTGCGGGGTGTGGCATTGTGTATCCATACTTTGTGCGTCTCAGGATTGGGGAAGGCCCCAATACCCGCTGCTCTGGTCCGGTCTGGAGAATGGGCTGTCTGCTGCTGTGCGTGCGGGTCACAAGCTCACCCCACTAACCAGGACCCCTTATGTGGGAGGTTACAGAAACGTACACACCTAACACGTGGCATGGGCCACCACGGCTCAGACCCACTTGGCCACAGCGCTGATTTGCCCTTAACCACACTTATGGGTATAGGGCCCACACGGAAGTGAGGTTGGCGTTTTGGGAAGTGGTGGATGCTGGAGCCTTGTGGGGCCTTTCTCAGAGCACTACCTCCACAACCCTATGCAGATACCCCCTCACCCAAACCTGGGACTTCGCTTCCCCAGGCCTCAGGAAGGTTCCAGTAGGATTGATCCTGCAGGTTTCTAGCTTCCAGGTCCTCTTGGAATTCTGAGATGAGACAGGACCCACATCCCCTCTGCCCCTTGCTGAACTCACCAAGGTGTACCCTCTCTGCCAGCCTCTCAGCAGGATGTGGAGGGTGGGACACTTATGGAAACAGGATTGAGAGCAATGTCCCCAACCAGAAGTCATGCCTTGGTGCCCTGGGGTGTTGGGACCCTGAGCTAGTTCTGAGAAGTCTGGGGATGAGTTTTCCATCAGCCATAAGCCTCTGTCCATCTCTCTGGCTGGACTCTGGCAGAGGTGCAGACTGGAAGGCATGCCTCCCTCCCTGGTTCTCCTCTGCCATGCTTGGACTCAGACCAGGTGTTGCTAAGGCCATTGAGAGTGATTTCTAACATGCCCTGCACTGCCTCCGGGCCCCTCTGGCTCTGGCTAGCTAGGGCCAACTCTGTCAGGGACCTGACAACCTCACCCCATCTGATAAAGGAGTAAACTAGTTCAGATAGGCAGGGGTAGAAGCACTAACATCCCAAGTGGATCAGGATGGAGTAAGGGGGAGCTAGGTTGAGGCAAACTACCCAAGGGACTTCTGATGTTAGGCCTAAGGCTCATCCCCCTCGTCATCTGGACTTTCAAGCCTTCCGGTGTGGTGCTGTGGGTTAATGCGCCAGACTACAAAGCCGTTTGAACTGCAAGGTCGGTCGGTGGTTCAAGTTCACCAGCTGCTCCTTGGAAACCCTATACAGGGTCGCTATGGGTCGGAATCGACTCGATGACACTTAACAACAGCAACAATCTGCCTTAACTGGGCTCTGTATACAACACTCCAACCCCTTCTAGAGATGCAACCCCACAGGGCCCTGCCAGGCATAATAACTGTGCTTCAAAATGCCAGCCACAGGAAGGGCACGGCACGTGTGGGTAAGCACTTAGGCACTGGGCAGGCTGGAAGGTGCCCCAGATGGTGGATCACCTACAGTGATAGTCACAGGCTCCAGAGGCCCCATCCCCTTTTCCCTAACTGCACTAGGTAGGGAGGACAGCTGCCTCCCAAGCAGGCAAAAACAGCAGTATGTAGGTCTCTTCTGGTTCAATTTCATTTAGCAAAAATGTACAAAGTCTCCTGTGCACAGAGATCCCCATAGGGACCAATAAGAATCAATAAATAGGCGCTCCCAGGCTACACCTGGTAGGAGGAAATGACACAGAGTTTAGAGCGATGGTAGGATAAGCGCTAGACTGTGAACTACAGAGCTGGTGATTTGAGCCCACCAACCGCTCCATGGGAGATAAAATGAGTTTCTGCTTCTGCAAAGACTCACAACCTCGGAAACCTAGTCCAGGGTAGTTATGAGCCAAAACTGACATGACAGCTCTTTTAACAGCAAAAGTGAAACCCATTTCTGTTGAGTCAGTGTGACGCACGGTGATGCCATGTGTCATAGAGTAGAAGTGTTCCATTAGCGTTTTCTTGGGTATGATCTGTACAGAAGTAGATTTCCAGGCCTTTCTTCCACAGTGCTGCTGGTTGGGTTTAGACTGTCAACCTTTAGGTTAGTAGTTGAAAGCAAACTCTGCACTAGCCAGGAAAGCTAGGTCATTAAGGCACTGCAATTTCCCATGGTACACAAAAGAGGTAAAGTTGGAGCTAGAAAATCAGGAGAGCTGGGAGACCAAGGAAGACTTCCCAGAGAAGGGGATTCCTGCACATTTATCCAAGAGAGAGAACAGCAAGAGAAGTCTGGAAGGATGGGAGAGTTGGATACATCTGGGAAGCACTCACTAGGTGTCTACAGTGGCAAGCAAGAGGAGGCTGTGGAGATGAAGGTAGGAAAAGCGGCCTGTCAGCTCTTGTTTCTGTGGTTATGATCTTTTCATTCTAGACAGTAATGACTGTTGTTTTCAGACCTTTTAGGCAGAAGGGTCTAGGTGAGGTGGCCTAGGAATCCTAGACTTGGTTTCTTGCCTGTGACATTGTCCTTTTTCTCCACAGATAAGATCCTGATGGGGCAGGATAGGGACCCGGAATGGATAGTGGCAGGGGGAGCCCTGACCCCCAATACCTCCTCACCATTCCCCCCTGAGCCTCCAGGGGCATCAGGCAGCATCATCCCAGTCTACTGTGCCCTCCTGGCTGCTGTGGTCCTGGGCCTGCTGGCTTACGTGGTCTTCAAGTGGTAGGTGGTCTGGGCACCGCCCTGTGGCACCCCTTTCCCACCACCTCCCCTAGTCTGGGCTTCCGGCCAGCTCCCTCCGTCTTGGTGAAGGTGGGAGCAGGCTGGCAGGTACCCCTGCTCCCTACAGCTGGCGTTCCCATAAGCAAAGACAGCAGCTGGCCAAGGCTCGGACTGCAGAGCTGGGGAGCCTCGACAGGGACCAGGTGCATGGCAATAGCAGTATCTTCCTGGACTCTCCCAACCACCAGGAACTCGGTGCCACTGGCCAGGGTGAGTCCCCTTCCCCAGTGGAGTCCTTCTCAGTCCTTCCCTTATTCCCCAGGCCCTTGTTTGACCCTCATAGGCCCCTCCTGTCTCCCACCCCAGGGCCGAATCCTGAGGTTGGTGGCAGACTTTATCTTCACCTCCCGCGGCAGCAGCAGGAGGAAGTGGAGCGGCTCTTGGAGGTGCAGGGTGAACCTGATAAGGGCTGGCAGGGCCTGGCAGGCTGCCTGGGCTACCGGGCTGAGGCTGTGGAGACCCTGGCCCAGGGCCAGGCTCCAGCCTACAATCTACTGAGGGACTGGGCCATCCGGGAAGGCACCGGAGCTACCCTCCGAGTTCTGGAGGATGCACTGGTTGCCATGGACCGTGAAGATGTGGCCCAGGTCCTGAGCCCCTTGGCTGAGGGCTGCTCTGTGGTGTGAGCTATGCCTCTACAGCTGGCTTCTCAGGGAACCTGCTCTCCCATCTCCCCATAGCCTTCAAGGACTTTCTGGCACTGGGCCTTAGCCTGCTCTGAGACAAAAGATCCAGCCACTATTCACCTATCCTTGTCCTATCTTCCTTTAGGACAGGGACCAGGATTCATTACTTAGCCATGTTTTTGTTTTCTACTTTTGTATACCATATTAAAAGATTTTAGATTTTGGTGCTGATTCCATTTGGTTCCTTGGGTCTGTGGGCTGTTATGGGTATGAGGCAGAGCTTCAGGAAAGGGCTAGGAGCCCTAGGGAGTGGGAGGTGCAATAGCTGAGTGAGCAGCATCTAAAATAGCAGGAGAGAGATTGTGAGTAGCTGTGCATATGGCTGCTCCCCTCCACTGAAAAACCCAAATGGAAACACTTGGCTCAAACCCATTCATTGACACAGTGTCTGTAATACGAAGGTAAGTCAAAGAGTTTTGTTACAAAAATCATAGCATCTTTTATTAAATAAAAATGTTAAAATATGAAGCTATTGTTTCACAACGTATCCTCCATCCATACTTTAAAAAAATCTTTTTATTGTGAATTGAGTGAAGGATTGCAGACAAGATCATCAGTTTTACATTGAACAAATCATACACTTTATCTCAATGATTATAATCCCCTCCACGGAGCAGGTACCCCATTTCCTCCCTATGGTTCCTATTTCCCTTACACCCACCTTCCCATTCCTACTGGACTTTGTCCTTAGGTAAGTGTTGCCAATTTGATCTTGAGTGGTTCACCATTCCGTGGTAAACATACTTTACTAGTAATGTTGTCCCTCCTGCATATCTGTCTACTGCTTGACTGAAAATGGGGCCACGAGGGTGAGTTCCTTTCCAGACCTGAAGGGTGGTCGAGTCATAGACTTGAGTTCCTCCAGTCTCTGACCAGTAAAACTGGTCTTTTTTCTTTCAGTAATTTTCCGTTTTGCTCCACATTTTCTCCCCTTTATCCAGGACCTTCTAATGTGATCCCTTTCAGAGCAGTTGGTAGTGGCAGCTGGGCACCATCTAGTTCTTCAGGTCTCAGAGTCATGAAGACTGATGTTCACATGCTCCATTAGTCCTCTGGGCTAATTGATTCTAACATTTCAATTCTCATCACTCTTCTGCACATGGAAAGACTATGTGTACCTTAGGTGGATGCTCATGAGCTTTTACGATCTTGCTGTACCTTAGGTGGATGCTCATGAGCTTTTAAGATCTCAGATACTACTCACCAAAGTTGGACATAGAACATTGTCTTTGTGGACTGTTATGCCAACTGACCATGGTATCCCCTGAAACAATGGTCCCAACCACCCAGGCCCAGCAACTCATTGCCTTTATATGATAATATCTAAAAAGTTTTCACCATTTTATCCACTGTATGCTCCACCACTCATAGTTGTTTGCAAAGGTAAATAAATACCAATGTACAAATATCTTTCAAACCCTCATGTATTTCTAAAGGTGAATACACCTGTACAAATGTTCTCTTTCAAACCATTATATATTCCCACTCTTCCTTCCATATCTGTTCAGCCTGTGTCTCTGTCCATGTATCGACCCACAGAACACTTCTGTTTCAAGGTTGTAAACATTAACACTATTTACCTTTATCGCCTTTAGCCCCTGCATACCTCCCTGTGTCTTCACCATTCTTCTGATGTCTTTGCCTGGTTTTGGTATCAGGACTATGCTTGCTTCATCAAATGAAGTTGGGAGCTGTCCATCCTTTTAGATATTCTGGAATAGTTTGAGTAGAATCAGAGCTAGCTTTTCTCTGAATGTTTGGTAGAATCCACCAGTAAGGTCACCTGGGAGTTTTGTTGGGAATTTTTTAATGACCTGATCAATTTCTTCTTTTGTTCTTGTTAAGTGCCACCAACTTGGTTCCAACTCATAGTAAATCCTGTATGGGGTTTTAAAGAGAAGTTGGTGGGTTTGAATCACCATCTTGCAGTTCAAATCGATCTTGGCAGTCCAGCGCTTACCCTACAGTGCCACATCAGGACTCCCTTTTGTTATAGGTCTGTTCAAGTTTCCTCTTCATTCTTAGTTTGTGTAAGTCATGTTTTTCTAAAAATTTGTACATTTCTTCTAGATTTTCTAAATTGTTGGAGTACAGTTATTCATAATATTGTTAACCTTTTTATTTCCATTGGTTCTGTTGTGACATCACCCGTATCATTTCTCTTTTTCTTAGATTTGCCAATGGTGTGTCAATTAATCCTTTCAAAGAACTAACTTCTTGTCTTACTGATTTTTATCTTCTCATTCATTTCTGCTCTGATCTTTATTATTTCATTTTTTTGGAGGTGATTGTAGGCTTACTTTGCTGTCCTTTTCTAATTGCTGGAGTATGTTGTGTTAATGTGTTGATTGTGGTTCGTTCTTTTTGGATGTGTACATTTACTGTTATAAATTGCCCACTAAGGTCTGTTTTTGCTGTGTCCCAAATGTTCTGGTATGTTGTATTTTCATTTGATTCAAGGAATTTTAAAATTTTCATTATTTGTTGTTACTCAGTAGCTTTTAAATGGGGTGTTATTAAATTTCCATGTATTTGATTTTTTCCCCTTCATCTACCGATTGATTTCTAATTTTATAGCATTCTGATCAGAAAAGATACTTTGTATTTCAGTTTTTAAATTCACTGAAGCTTGCTTTGTGGCCTAACATGGTCTATTCTGGAGAAGGTTCCGTGTGCACTGGAAAAGAATGTGTATTGTGTTGTTGGGTTGAGTGCTCTGTATAAATCTGAGGTCAAGTTGGTTGTGGTGTTGTCTTTTTTTGAGTTTCTAGTTGTTCTGTCCTTCATCAAAAGCGGTATATAAAAATCTACTATTGTAGAGTTGTCTGTTTCTACAGTTATGTATTTTAAGACTCTTTCATTGGGAGCATAGCTATTACAGTTATGTCCTCTTGTTTGACCCTTTAATCATGAGATAATGTCCTTTATCTCTCATACTGGGTTTTGCCTTATTTTATCTGAAATTAATACTGCCACTCTTGCTCATTTTTGATTATCACTAGGTTTAGTGAATTTTTCCATCCTTTGACTTTCAATCAATCAGTTTTTGTCTTTGTGTGTAAGATGTGTCTTATAGACAGCATATTGAAGTATCCTGTTTTCTTATTCATTCTGCTGCTCTCTGTCTCTTGACTGGTGCATTCAATTAGTTTACATTCAGTATAATTATCAATAGGCGTAAATTAAGTGCAATCATTTTGCTGTGGGGTTTTTTTTGTGTGTGTGTGTGGTTCTGCTGGTTTCTTTGTTCCACATAATTTTATTTGCTGAGTTCATTTTGTGTCTTCTTAATTTCTTCATTGCTGTTGTCTTAATGTTTACTATATCTTCATGGATTTTTCTTGGTTTGATGTGAAGGTGTATTAATTTTCTTTGAGGTTACCTTTTATTAATTTTTTAAAAAACTATTGTGAATTGAATGAAGGTTTACACAGCCGATCACGTTTTACATTTAACAAATCATATACTTTGCATGACTACGACTGCAATCCCCTCCATGTACCAACAGTTAACAGTATTTACCTCTATTCACTTTAACTTTTGCATTCCTCCATGTCTCCTGATACCATCATCATTCCTCTGCTAACCTTCCTCATGTTGTATATTGTCAGCCATCACCCATGTTAACATGTGTATACCCTCTAGCCCATGAATAATTTTCCTTCCCCTGTAACCGTAATAGATTAAGAATATTCTCTTAACAGTATTTATCTCATATACTGTTTGTCTTTTTGTAATTGACTAATTTGACTCAACATAATGTCCTTCAGGTTTAACCATGTTGTAAGGTGTTTTACAGATTTATCATTATTCAATGTTGGTTAGTATTTCCTCTGTGTGTATGTACCAAAGTTTATTTAACCATTCATCTGTAGATGGGCATTAAGGCTAACTCTTATCTTTTTGATGTTTCTCTTGTAGACAGGATATTGAAGGATCCTGTTTTCTTTTCCATTCTCTGCTCTCTCCATTTCTTGACTGGTACATTTAATCATTTACATTCATGGCACTGCTGGCTTCTTTGCTCTACTTAGTTTTCTATGCTGGGTTCATTTTGCTTGTGGGTTTTCTTTTCATTGTCATTTTTTGTTAATGTTTACTAAATCTTTGATTTAAAAATTTTTTGATGTACAAGTGTATTAATTTTGAGTTTACACCTTTATTAATTTTTCTCCTAGTTAAAACAATGTTTTATCTTGAAATATACTTGACTTCCATGTCATTTGGAAGTTCTGTATCTACACTGTTCCCGCTTTGCCATGTATACATCAATCTTAGGCTATTGTCTGCTGTTGTGGGTTTTCTGTCCAATGGACTCCTCTAGTATTTTTTATAAAGTTGGCCTGATTATTACAAATTCCTTTTATTTTTGGAATTATCTGGAAATGTTCTAATTTCTTTGGGTATTTGAGAGACAGTTTTTCTGGGTGTATGATTCTCTGGTGGCAGTTTTTTTCTATCAGAGTTTTGTAACGTGCCCTGCATTACATTTTCTGATGTGTCTTGCCTGCATTGGCGCTTAAATCTTATTGGCTTTCCTATGTAGGTAACTTTTTATTTTTTCCAGGCTGCTCTCAGCATTACTTCCTTTTCTTTTTGATATTTCTTGGTGATTTTCTTTTAAGGTCTATTCTGTTTGGGTGTCTGTTCAGCTTCTTGAATGCTTATCCTCTTTGTCTTTTATCTTAGGGAAATTTTCTCTCAAGAGCTATCTTTTCTGTGTTTTTGTCTTTTCCTTTTCTGGAATTCTGGTTACCTGTACATTGTTCCCCTTCATGTTGTCCCACGTGTCTTACTTAAGCTTTCTTCAGAATGTTCTTCTAGCTTACAAGTATTGAAAGATTTGTCTTCAAGCTCACTAATTCGGAGTTCCATTGATTCAAATCTACTCCTTTGTCCTTTCAGTGTATTGTCCGTTTCTGAAATCTGAGTATTAATCC